TGCTCCCTGAGGGGTTTGGGGGGGATGCAGAGAGGGATGGGGGGAGCCCAGCTCTTAGGTTGCACAATCCTTGCTGTGTTGTTTGTTTTTTTGTTGTTGGTTTGGGTTTTTTTTGGGGGGTGGCAGGAATCACAGATATCTGTATCATTTAGCATCATCTCCCATCTTTAAATCCCCCACTCAGGGGGGTGTCCCCAGCCTGGGGGTCCCATGTGCCCCCGGGGAGGCTGCACCCGGGGCAGGGCTCTGCTGCAGCTGCCTTCAGCCTCACTACATCCTCACTACATCCATTCTTGGAAGCGCTGGGCGGGAGCGGTGGAAGCCCCCGTGGGCTGCGGAGGCTGCGCGGCGGGGAGAGGCCATGCTGCCGCAGGCAGAGCCCTGCTGCCAGCGCGGCCCCGCGGGGCCCTGTGGGTCACAGCCCCTCCGTGGGTCACAGCCCCTCTGTGGGAGCCGGACACACCTATAGAGCCCAACCCCTACAGAGCAAGAGTCCCCGCTGCGGAGGGCTGGCCCCTATAGAGCCCGACTCCTATAGAACCCAACGCCAGGCGTTGCAGAGGGAGAGCTGCTGCCCCAGGGATGCAGCTCCTGAGAGACCGGCCCTACAGAGCAGGAAACCCCATCTCACCCGGCAGACTGCAGCCCCTATAGGGACCTCCGATTAGCAAGGAAGAGAACGCCCTATAGAGCCTGCCCCTATGGAGGGGGAGTGCCCACCCTCTAGAGAACCCCCCTATAGAGCCTGTCCCTGTAGATCAAGACCCCCCCCTCCCCAGAGCAGCTCCCAGGACAAGCAGAGCGCAGCCCTGCAGCCTGGGGTGGGGGGTTCCATAGGGCCCATACACTCCCCATCCCGCCCCACACCTGAGGCACGTGGGGGAACCGACCCCAGGACCTGCTGAACCCCTTCCTGGGGAGCAGAGGGGCCACAGTGACCCCCCAACTTCTCCATGTCCCCACCAGCCACCTCCCTGCTCGCTCCGTGCCCTTGAACTTCTCCTCATCTCCCTTTCTCGCACCGTGGATGGGGGGTGCAGTACCTGCCGGGGTTTTGGGGTGTCACGGGACCACAAAGCCTCGGCGAGGCGGCAGTAGCCCCGTTCAACACGGGCTGGGTTTTCTCAATGAGGGGTGGCCCGGCCCCCGGCGTGGTTGCGGGTTTCACAAGGTATTTTGGTCAGTGCTTACAAGAAGAGGCCGCGGGGAGGGCTGCGGCGAGGGGGGATTCCAGTAAATGGCCTCCGAGCCTTCCTCATTCTCGAGAATAGGAAACTGCGCGACTTCTCCACGGGGTTTCGCTTTCTGCACGGGCAGGCGAGAGGCCAAACTGCTCCGCTTGACCATCGCTGTGACGCAGCCAGGGGACCAAAAAAGCACGGGAAGAGAGAATTCATCCATGTCTTTGGCTGCAAGAAAAATTTTATTTAAAAATTTTTTTTTCCTCGGGAAGCAGAGCAGCGGAATCATTACACCCGCCTGTGAGTTAGGTCTCCCGCCATCCTGTTTCGGGGTGCTGGGGGGGCGCTGAGTGATGCTGGGTGCCATCCAGCCACCTTTGGGGGTGATGATGCCGAGGTCACAGCCGTGACCTGCCCTGGTATCACCCGTCATCCCCTTCTCCTCCCCGGCAGCCCCTTCCCCACGGCACAGGGGGACGCTGCAGCAGGACCGTGGTCCCCAAGGGGGGCTGGGGGCCGGGAAGGGGGGGTAGGCAAGAGCTGGTAAAAATAGCACCCAGGTGCCCTCTGCCCCAGAAGCGATTTCTCGCTGGGTAAACAGGAAATCTATTCTTAGGCCCATTCATGAGCCGCGGGGCTGACGGCAGCTCCCTGCTCCGGGCTTGTTTTGTTCCTTGCTGACACAGGGGTGACGCCGAGGCGGAAGGCCACCGCGCAGAACCTTCCAGCCCCGCGGGCTTCCCCTTGCTCATTCTTTCCCCCCCCAGCAGCACTTTGCACTCCCTGGCTTTTCCAGGGGTGCTGGGGTTTCCCCTTCACACCAGGGGGTAGTGGGAAGTGAGGGTGGTTTTGGGGTGTCTCCGGAAATCTTGATTGCTTCTGGGCTCGCCCGTGCTGGGTGGCACCCCGAGGGGTAATTGCTTTGGCAGAGCTCTCCCCCCACATCCAGCTCTCTCTCTCTCTTCCTTGATGGTTATCTCTTAAGTTGGAGGAGGCAAAGCCACCAGCTTGCCCTTTCCTGGGATGCGCTGAGGAAGGAGGACATTGCTCACAGCTTTCCCCTGCCCCCCCCCCCCCCCCC